CCCAGCCAGCAATTCTAGGAGTTGAAGTCCACACCTCTTAAAGTGGCCGAGTTTGAAAAACACTGATTTAAGTCGAGACCGAACAATTTTTGGTCACGGATGCTGTAGCTGCGTCCTTTCAAATGCTGTGGTTCCTATAAGGATCTGGCGATGTTTGTCCCTTTAAAAATTATTTAGAGTATTCTTCACAGTGCAGGTGGGATATACCTCCTCACTTGCCTTCATCTGCTGCTTTTAAATTCTTTGCATCTGTTTTTATTTCTCTCCCTTCCCAGGACGGCCTCCTCGAACAGCTCTATGACTTGACTTTAGAGTATCTCCACAGTCAGTCCTACATGATCGGTTTTCCAGAACTGGCTCTGCCTGCCATCCTTCAGGTAAGAGGAGTTTCGGTACCTAAAAATAAATAGATGCCTTGGGCAGAAAAGATTTGCCACGCGTCCCCGAGTTCTCTCCCCGCTTGCCAGCCTAAAGCAAAAACCATCCTCTTTGTTTTGGACGGATTGTATGGCTTACTAGGGTGAATAAGCCTATTTGGTAATTTGACAGGCATTTTTCATGCTTCCAGGCCCACCAAGGACTAGAAACTTACCTTAACATCAGTAAAATGGGGGGGAAAGTGTCAAGAGAGTGCCACATTTAATGTCTTTTTGCAGAATAGGGACATTGCGGAATAGTGGAGTTTTGCATTGCACAATGGTGGCATTGTTTAGCCTTGCTTGGCTAAATAATGGGGGGGGGGCAGGAAAGTATTTTTCCTCCTTCTCCTTAAACCTGCCAGAAGCGTTTTAAGGACCCACAACTCCTTTCCACCCTACTGCACTGCGAAGGTGAGGCTTCCGAGCGCAATGACGCTGCAGGAAAATGGGATTTTCTTTGCGGTGTATCTCTGAGGCCTGTGTGCCGGTCCCCGCCGCCGCCGCCCCTTGCCTTGGCTCAGCCCTGCCTTCCGCCCAGGGTGGGCTTCCCAGGGTGGGCTTCCCGCTCCGTCTGGCTCGTTAGACCACCCCTGAAGAGGAGGTCAGCGGTGGCTGAGATCCAGGGCCAAGCTGTGCGTGGAAAGCAGGAAGCCCCCGAGGCAGCCCGGTTGGGGCAGGTGGGGGAGCGTGGAGGGCCGGCAACGGCTTGACGTCTCCCCTTCCGCTCCAGCCGCAGCACTTGGCCGGAGTGTTATACAGGAAGGGCTGGCAGCTGGGTTTTCCCTTCGGTGGCTGTGCCAGGCCGCGTGGCTTCCTCCAGAGCGCGGCATGAATGCCCCCTTGTCTTCTCTTCCTCTGCTGGAAGTTGCAAGGGGGGTGCGCGTGAAAGGAGGCGTATGTTTTTGAAAGGGAGCCCTCCCTTCGCTTTGGGCGCCTAGAGGGCTCGTCCCGCCTGCTCTCCTGCGTTCCCCCTTTCGTTTTGGACAAAAGAAGGCCGAGCAGTCGCCAAACGGTCCTGGCGTTGGGGTGGAAGCCACCGTCAGGGAAGGGCGGGTCTGAGGTCAAGTGAGCAGGGACGAAGGGTCTCCATTTTCACGCACGCACACAGAGCTGTGTGAAAGGCTTCTCTTGGTGAAAGACTCTGCACACACACCCCGTCCCCTGGGTCAAGTAGCTGGCCTGATCCAGGGCCCCTCCTTCAGAGCTGGCTCGGGAACCCAGCGGTGACATCCCGAGACGTCTGCAGTCCAGGGAGGATGCTGACTTTTGGAAAAGCGAATTCAGGCTTTGGGTTGAGAAACGCCTCTCTCAGAAGCAGGTGCACAGAACGGTGACCCTTCAGCCAGGATTGGACTGGGACTCCCATCAGCTCCGGCTAGCCTGTTGAGGGTGGGAGCTGTGGTCTAAGAGCTGGACTGTGTTAGGCCGGGGAAGGCCGTGGTCTAACACAGGAGCAAGTTTCACATGCTGTTTTAAGTCGATATGTTTGTGAGATGGAACATATCTTCCCTTCCCTTCCTCGCCCTCCCCGCCCTCCCTTTTTATTTCACTCTTTCTTTAGCTTTTGGTT